GGGGGGGGGAGAGTTATTGATCCAACAACAACAACCAAAACTAAACGAGCGAGTTGGTATGCGTTTCAATATCAACGTTGGTGCGTCTGATGAAGGGAATAGCATCAATAGTGATAGGCAGTTGACTGGATATACCTAAATCGTGCACCAGACAGACGCATGTTGAAGTAGAAACGACACAATGTTTTTTTCTTTAGGCCTTGATAACTCTGAGAGGTATAAGAACAGCTATGGCCTTTATAGATTTTCATTTATTCCGAATATATAATTGCGGTAATGAGCTCAAAATCTACTTGGTAGGGTATACCAATACACGCAAAAAAGAGAAGGGAGTTTTAGAATAATACAAGTTTTCGATAGGAACAAAGGAAGTGGTTCAAAGCAGACAGTCAGAAAACGACTAACATGTTTCCATGACGTTGTTTGGTAACTCCTATATAATTTATATGGAACGTTCTCCGCATCATTGATATTTATATTTTATTTCCAATTTCCATTTGTTTCCCTTTAAAATTGTAGATATTTCATATTCGTTTAACATAAATAAGATTTTTTAAAAATATAAAAGGCTTTATGTAAAAAAAAAAAACCCTCAACAAGCTTGCACAAAGGCGACCTCACTTTACTACCTTGATTTACTTTCACCTCGACATCCTTGGAATGTACAAAAGATTTTACTTGCTGATCTATTTCTGGGCTATTTTTCTTTCCAAGGTGCCAATTTCATTGAGGTAAAAATATTAAATTGAAAAAATCATCCATAAAAAAATATCCACCACTTTTCTTTACATACTTTTATACTTTAATTTTCTAAAATCACACACCGATTGATGATCAAATTGCCACCCCTATAAAAAATTATTTTCCCTTTTCAATCTCGTGTTGTGCGAGGATAAGAATCTAAAGAATAGTGCGGAATAACGTCGCTAAGGATACTAATTCCCCCCCTCCCCCCCCCTCTTCGTGGGGGGGGGGGGGGGTTGGGCGTCTCGCTCACTCGAAAATCCTAAAGACGAGCCCACCCATCTTCGACTGCACCACCGGCGCGGTCACGACGGAGATCATAGCCATGAGCTTGATCAGGATGTTCAGCGAAGGCCCCGAAGTGTCCTTCAACGGGTCCCCGACGGTATCCCCGATCACCGCGGCGGCGTGCTGGGCGGAGCCCTTTCCCTTATTCTTGTCCCGCAGCCCGCCCTGCTCGATGTACTTCTTTGCGTTATCCCAGGCCCCGCCCGAGTTGGAGGCGGAGAGGGCCAGCTGGACGCCCGAGACGATGGACCCGGGCAGCATGCCCGCCACGGTGAACTTGCCGAAGAGGATGCCCACCACAAGGGGGCTCAACATCACCAGGGTGGCCGGGGCGATCATCTGCTGGAGGGCCGACGTCGTTGCGATGGCGACGCAGCTCTCGTAGTCGGGCTCGCTGCGGCCCTCGGCGACGTCGGGGTCCTGGAATTGGCGGCGGATGTCGTTCACCATGGCCATCGCCGCGACCCCGACCGAGCGGACCGTCATCGCGGAGAACCAATAGGGCAGCATCGCGCCAAAGAGCAGCCCCGGCAGGACCCGCGCGTCGAGGATGTTGACGACCGGGATGGCGACCCGCGAGAGGTAGGCCCCGTAGAGCGCGAGCCCGACAAAGGCCGCCGAGCTGATCGCGAAGCCCTTGCCGATCGCCGCCGTCGTGTTGCCCGCCGCGTCGAGGGCGTCGGTGACCTCGCGGATCTCGTGGCCCATGTGGGACATCTCCGCGATCCCCCCGGCGTTGTCCGAGATCGGCCCGTAGGCGTCGATCGTGAGGACGATCGACATCGTCGAGAGGATCCCCAGCGCCGCCAGGGCGAAGCCGTAGAGCGCGCAGAAGTGGTAGGCGACGTACATCGTCCCGCACATCGCGAGGATGGACGGGACGACGGACAGGTAGCCCAGGGCCAGGCCGTAGATGATGTTGGTCGCCGCCCCGGTCTCGCAGGACTCGGCGACCTCCTGCACGGGGCGGTAGGCGTTCGAGGTGAAGTACTCCGTGATGTAGCCGATCAGCAGGCCCGTCCAGAGCCCGCCGAGCACGCAGACCAGCGCCCCCCAGCGCCCGGTCTCAAGGCCGCCCACGCTGAACCGCGCGGGCAGGGCGATGGCCGTGATGTAGACCATCACGACGCTCGCGGCGATGGTGGCCTGCAGGAGCTGGGCCTTGAGGGCGGGCTCGATGTCGTCGATGCGGCGGACCCCGGCGCCGCTCGCGCGGAGGCCGGCGACGGCCATGCAGACCAGAATCCCCGCCGCGGTGATCAGCAGCGGGTACATCATCGCCGTGAAGGCGGCGGAGAGCTCGGGCGAGGCGGCCGCGATGACCAGCGCCGCGCACGAGGCCTCGCCGAAGCTGCCGAAGAGGTCCGAGCCCATCCCCGCGATGTCCCCGACGTTGTCGCCGATGCAGTCCGCGATGACGCCGGGGTTGCGGGGGTCGTCCTCGGGGATGTTCTTCTCGAGCTTCCCGACCAAATCCGCCCCGACGTCGGCCGCCTTGGTGAAGATGCCGCCGCCGACGCGGCCGAAGCAGGCGATGGCCGAGCCCCCGAGCCCGAAGGCCGCGATGCAGGCGTACTGCTCCGGCAGCGTCGCCGCGGCGTCGGCGAAGTACGCCCCGATCATCCGAACAGTAAGGTAGAGCGAGAAGAGCCCGATCGAGGTGAGGCCGAAGCCCATCGTGATGCCGCCGCGGAAGGCGGTCTGGAAGCCGAGGGCGCAGCCGAGGGACTGGTCGCCGTCCTCGCTGCCGGCGGTGGCCATGATGGCCGTGCGGGCGTTGGTGTAGACCGCGATGCGCATCCCAATCCACCCGGCCAGCACCGACGTCAGGGCGCCCATGAAGAGCGCGAAGATCGACAGCCCGGCGCTGACCCACGGCGTCGCGGACGCCGCCTCCCCGGGCTGCGGCGAGGACAGCGCGAGGCCGAGCAGGACGTAAATCACGCTGCTAAACCCCACCAGGAAGATCCCCATGTAGCGGTACTCGGCGAACAGGAAGGCGGTGGCGCCGTTCGAGATCCGGCTGTAGATCACATAGACATTCCGCATCACCTCATCGGTGAGGTAGGTATTGCGCAGGCCCTGGTCCTTCCCCGGGGCGACCTTGATGTCGGACAGGACGTACCACCAGTACATCGCAAAGGCAAACCCCAGCGCGGTCGAGAAGACAATCACAAACGACGTGACGTGCGCGGACATGGCGTAGTAGCCCGTCGAGGGCAACACCGCTTCGCCTTCCACCGCGCTCGCGTTGAGCTCGGCCGAGGCCATCTGTTGGGTAAACACCAAAAAGGCCCCCAAAAGGGCTATCCAAGGCGCTCGCAACCACATCGCCTCGGGCTGCGGTTGGTCAGGACGGCGCGAAACGCGAGGAGGGGGGGAGGGGGGAGGAGGGGCTTCGCGTTAAACCAATGGAATCGAATGGCGCGCGGCAAATCGCTCGGCGGCCTCGCAATCACGCTTCAACGGACTTTCGCGGATCTCGATTAACCGAAATACAATCTCGTAAATGGAAATCAATAAATAACTATATAGGTGAGTAAATATATATATATATATATAGAACTGTATATATATATATATCGCGTATATTATTTTTTTGGGTAATATAATAAGAAGGCAAAGCAAATATTATTCTAATTGATTGAAGAAAATAAGAGACCTTTTCGGGAAGCACACCAAATAAAGAAGAGGAAATCCCATAGGGAGAGAGAGAGAGAGAACTTTTAAACTATTCTAAAATCAAAAAATCTACCTGGAAGCGCAAACACCCACCCACCCAGCTATGAACGCGACAAGTAAAAAGATGACATTAAGTAAGTATTTAATGATCAAACGAAATAGGATTTAACAGGATAACCTGGTATACGATTGTGAAAGCCAGAACTTGTAGCGACAACAAAGCAAGGCAAGGATTTTTTATACACTAGTCTAGATGTCCCTTGAAGCCTTGATTAGATCACTAAAAGTTCATCAGTAGCTACTAGTCGTCGTAGGTTCAACATTTAAATTGTCATGACAGAACCTACTCGATAAGTATCGACTTTAATAATAGTAAAAAATAGGTATTCAGGCGTAAGGGATATAAATCTATGTGTGCACACATGCATGTATTATTAGTTAATGAATTCTGTACATTTTTTTTTTTTTACATGACTGACTTTTCAATAGTGTCGTTAATCGTCTTGATCATTTGCCGTGGTATCGTCGTCCCTTCCAAACAGATAGTGGTGATGTTGGGCCGTTTGATGCACAAATCCAGTATGGCCTGCCCACTGATGTGGGAGATCGGGTTGTAGGAGAGATCCAGGTCCGTCAGGGCATTCCCGGCCGGGGTGTTAAAGAGCACGTCGACGATGTCCATCACTTCGACATTCTTCAGGCGATTGTGGCTCAGGCGCAGCGTGCGCAGGGCGTCCCCGTTGTGTTTTAGGACCTCCAAAAGCGGGACGATCCCGCGCAGGCCCATGGAGTTCGCCGAGAGGTCGAGGCTCGCGAGGCGCTTGAGGGGCTCCGCGGGGAGGAGGCCGAGGAGGCCGGGGTTCGGCCGCAGTTGGTGCTCCAGGCAGG